AAAAAGAGACATTCAAAAAGAAATCTCACTTAGACTAGCTAGAACGGCCTCGTCTTTGGTAATGCCAGATATAACGTCCACCTTGTTGTACCAGCCCTTTCGCAGCATAGTGGCGGGGAACTCCGGTAAAAACTGGCCGTCGACACGTGGCTTCATCACTGCAGAACTGAGGCGATGTACCTGGGAAGAGAAAAGCCAGCTGTTTGATCACTTCGGTTTGCCGGTCCGTGGAGGAGAAAGTTAGGGGTGGTTTTGGGGATGGTGATGAAGGGGATGTGATTGGAGAAAGGTGGTGATGGTGATGAAGGGGATGTGGTTGGAGAAAGGTGGGGATGGTGATGAAGGGGGTGTGATTGGAGAAAGGTGGGGATGGTGATGAAGGGGGTGTGATTGGAGAAAGGTGGGGATGGTGATGAAAGGGATGTGATTGGAGAAAGGTGGTGATGGTGATGAAGGGGGTGTGATTGGAGAGAGGTGGGGATGGTGATGAAAGGGATGTGATTGAGGATTGGTGGTGACAGGGTGGTGACGATCGTAATAACTTCGTATAGCATACATTATACGAAGTTATACGAGTGGTGATGGTGATGAAAGGGATGTGATTGAGGATTGGTGGTGACAGGGTGGTGACGATGATGAAGGGGATGTGATTGGGGAATGGTGGTGATGGAAATGAAGGGGAAATGTCGTCTTTGCTGATAAAAAGTGTTTCTAATTTACCTATGTCTTTAAGAATAAAGTGCCTCTCTAGCTTTTATTCAAACAAAATTCTGTAAATTTCCCCACGCATCGTCTACCTTTCAACCAACCAAAATGTTGTAAACATTCACTTACGATATAATACTGAACAGAAGTTAATTCTTGGTAAGACACGTTCCTCAGGCAGGCGACAAGTGCTGTGCCGTTCAGTGACAGCTGATCATCCCCAGCTGAACAGTTGAACATCTGACCGACCTTAGTGGCTACCTGCCTGTGGTCTTCCCTCAACACCCAGGGACACAGCGCTGTTCCCGACTGCAGGATAACTCGGCGAAAGAGACCTGGTGCATGGCGAGTGATTAATAAGATTAAGATCATAAGATTTAGTTTCAGTTCCATTTGTTACAATGGATATTCTTTGCTATGACATACTGTGTTTTGTGTGTTTTGTTTTGCTTCTAAATCTACCCCTGTGTGCAAGGAATGGCCGGGGTTACCATCCACTGGAAGATTGCAAGACCAGCACGTTACCATTGCACTACACAGCAATGGAGTGAATGGGGCATTGTATATAAAACAGCGTGGATGTAAACCAAGCATTTACCATTAATATGTAAGATATTATACAAGAAATTATATTAGACTTAATATAACTAAAGAAATTATAAAACTAAAAGATCAAGGCAAAGCACTGTATTCTCAGAGAATATACTATACATAGAATAGGCTGAATGAATAGGCAAGTGCACTAAATCTGTGTCATTATATCAACAATGCAACACTACCACTCCTTCATTTAATAAAATTTATGTACGTCCAAAGGTGTTCAGACAAAATGCCCAAGAAAGCGTTTATTAAAAGGTTTTCTTGGTGAAAACTTTTTCGTCTATAGCACGAGCATCGATATCTTCACATTTATGTTTCACGACTTCACGTAAGCATATCGATTTTTATGTTATGAAAGTTTAGAATAAAAAAAGACAACTTGAGTTTTCGCTTAATTGGTCCGAAAACTCCTTTGGGCGAGCATAGCCTCTATTTGCGTTCGTATCCCCCGCTTAAAGATTGCTCCGACGTCAGCCTCACCTGAAGACATGGGCGACAGGACGTGGAAATGCACTGATCCTGCCCCGGCGCTCTCCCCGAAGAGGGTGACCTGGCCCGGGTTGCCGCCAAGGTCACGGATGTTGTCTTGCACCCACAGGAGAGCCAACCTTTGGTCCTTGAGTCCTAGGTTGCCAGGCAGCTCACTGTCCTCAGTCGATAAGAATCCTGCAAGTTCACCGCGGTTTCAATAACTCGAATCACTACTGCTATTTAATAGAACGAAGTAGAATCAATCAGACAAATCATATCCACACAGAACATGACAACCGAATCCTAGAATCCTCTCACTATGCCTATCAAAAGCCACTAGGCCCATCTCAGCTACCGACCCAGAGTGCCCAGCCGATACTGTATGACCACGAGGACCACATCCTTCGTCAGGAGAGGAAGTGGCCCGAAGAGCTCGCTGTGTCCGTTCCTGAATTTTCCTCCGTGAATCCACACCATGACAGGCAAGTCCGAAGAGTAAGGCTGGGAAAGGGAACACGCAGATAAGCTATATATAGAATGCAAGCAGTAATATCGAACTAATTAGTCGTCCTTTTTAATTTGTACTAATAAGAGAATGGGCTTTTGACTCTATTTCTTTATTTCATTATGTGTTCCAGTGACATATAAATGTTTTTTTTAAACATTTGGATCGATGGTGTAGAAGGAAATGTAGGCTCTATGCATTGAATTTTTTTTCTTTAAATGCTGTACTGACATGTTTGTGTATAAACTGGTTTATAGGGCTTATTATGGCTTACCCGAGGAGTGTAGACGGAGAGATAGAGACAGTCCTCTACTCCCTCAACAGCAGAATTGCCCAACTGTGGGCATTTCGGTGAGGCGATGGACCCATTTCTTACTCCTGTCCATGGCCCCGCAGGAACAGGGTCCTTACGAAGAAGGGCGAGATCTTAGTCGTATCTTAATACCTTATTAATCTATATATGTATATAATATGGCTTTATAAACATTTTAGGTATTAAGCATATCCTGACATGGAAGGAGCTGCTACTCCTGATAAACCACCAGTTAACTCACCCTAAACCTTAGGTCCCCGACAGGAGGTTCTGCGAAAGGAATGGTCTTGAAGCTGTAGAAGACCCTCCCGTTTCCGGCCTCTGACCGGGCCCCTGAGATCACGCCCTGCCGGAGATGCACCTCCACCAAAGGCTCTGTGAGTGTTGTGGCATTCTGCTGCTGAGCCGTCGACATTGCAGCCAGTAAAAGCGACACCAGAATCACGGTCCACATCTTCATACTGTTACTTAGACCAGACATCTGAAACAGATTAACGGGCGAGTGTTATTAACATATGTATACCCTTTGAGAGACAGTTTGTTATTCTACTAACAACATAACCTAAGATAACGTTGATCTACACCATCGTTTCCCAAAATTGGCGGTATCACACCCCTGGGGGCGGTGGTAAGATCTAGGGGGCTAGGGGGAGGGGTGGAAGCGACAGCTAAAATTGCTAAATAGATTAGTCTCTGGCGAGTGCGTCCGTATTGTAAAGAATTACTATAATTGGGTTTAGTACATATGGTTTTATTTGTGAAATGCATTTTTGTGTTTATTTCAAACATATCTAAATGAGGAAAAGACTAAAGGTTGCAATCGTCGGTACAAGAAATAATCTGCTCGAGAAGAGAGAGAGAGAGAGAGAGGAGGAGAGAGAGAGAGAGAAGAGAGAGAGAGAGAGAGAGAGAGAGAGAGAGAGAGAGAGAGGAGAGAGAGAGCGAGAGAGAGCGAGAGAGAGAGCGAGAGAGAGCGAGAGAGAGAGCGAGAGAGAGAGCGAGAGAGCGAGAGAGCGAGAGAGCGAGAGAGAGCGAGAGAGAAGCGAGAGAGAGAGGCGAGAGAGCGAGAGAGCAGAGAGCGAGGAGAGAGAAGAGAGGAGAGA